ATCTCTATATATAATATAATTACATTACAACAAAAGAATGTTATTTTTGTATTTTTATGAAACCAAAGGATGTTATTAATTATGTACCAAACTTATTATAAAAAATTTAATTTCTTAACTTTCCAATCGAACACTTAATTTAAATTATCTATGAATTTTGAGAGATACTAATAGCCATATTAACCCATGAGATCATATCTATGTTGGCAATTATATAATTATAATATTATATATGATTATAAATTTATAATTATAATATATTATTATACGAGTAAATATATATAATTATAAATATATTTTTAAATAAATATAATTAATTTGTTTTAAACAATGTGGAATTGGTTTTTTTTTTTTTCTTTTGGAAAGGGAGAATGGGGGACTCGGGACTTGATCCCAAGTTCTCCCGTCCTAAGTACGTCTCACAAAGGGATGGTCATTGGACCACCAAGTGTTGGACAATATAATTAATTATATAATTATATATTAGAATTATTATTTTTTTTTAGTATATATACCCTAATGATGAGTAACTTCTTTTTTTTTTCACTTGTAAGGGCTAATGTTGTCCCCCAAAAGTGGATGGTGACACCTTAGCATCACGCCTAATTGGATTCTTAGACTTCATTGTTGCTTTATTTATTATTAAAAAGAAAAACTTACATAGCACTGACAAAGTTTGAACTTTGAAGTGTGTTTTGGATAGAATATAGATGCCCTTAATGGGTGTTCCTAATCGTGATAGACTATTACTTTTCCTTTTTAATTAATTAATTATTTATTTATTTAAGGAGTGGTGAAAGGAATATCCCCAACATGATCATTTGAAAAGTAGTGGTCGCCAATGGACTTTTACAAGGGGTTTAATATATAACTCCAAACAGATTTTATCACCAATAGCTAGGGAAGTTATGAAATATCCATATATATGCTTTTGAAATGGTGGTCATTGCTAATCAAGTCTTGGTACATTGTATTTTTATTTTATTTTATTCTATTTTAAACAGATTACATTTTTTAAGAGAAGAGGAAATGTAAATTAAGAAAAAGAAATCGATAGAGTTTGAAATTATAATTCAAAGAGATAATTCTATTAATTCAAGATTAATGTCATTTAATTACAATGTAAAAATTAAGTATTGGTACATTGGTTAAAAGCTTAGAAATTTAGGGTACGACTCCAATGCTTGTATGGTTTTATTGTGCCTGTACTAATTTTGGATTGATCGTGTATTTTAAATTTAAATTTTATCAATGTTTAAATGATTATTGTTTGTTTATTTTAATTTTGTTTTAAATTACTTTTTTTAAGATAAATAAATGTTTTTAATTATATTTATTTATTTTATTTTATTAATAATTTAATTATAAAAATTATTTTTTATCTTTTATTTTTTAAAATATTATAAATAAATAAAAATATTATTTCTAAATTTTTAATTAAAAAAATAAAAAACAGAAATAGTATTTAACAGAAAGGTGGGGAGTATGGGATTCTCCATAATCCAAACCATACAATAAGGCAAATTCACCTATCAAAATGTTGCACACGGAGATTTTTATTTTATTTTCTTTATTTTTTTATTTTGACAAGGGTAATATTTAAAGATTGGTAAAATTAGAATTGTTAATAAGAGGTATTAAATATAAACAAAAGTGCAATACATCGGCTGCCTTTTTATACAGTAACAGTCACAATCACAATGAAAAAAATGCAAAAAAAAGATAAAAATTAAATTTTAAATCTAAAATAAAATACCCTTTAACCAATAATTAAATCGTACTTTGGTCACATGGGCTTCTTATCCCACACGGAGATGAGTCATAAATGATGGATAAGAAGAAAAATGTAGGGGGCGGCTCGCTCTGCGCCTTATACTTCACTTCGGTCACCATAATTGTGTACGAATGATGTAACTTTTGACACGGTGGGGTGCATCCTACTCCTCATCCAGAGAAAACCACACCAAGAATTAGAGGCACCTTACTAAATGTGACCATAGAAAAATGCCAACAACATAAAGGTGTAAAGAAAAGAGAGAAAAACAAAGCCCAACGGATGACTTAATTAAAGCCCCCCCTTTCGGCACACCGCACCTATATTGTCTTCTCACCGAACTAAAATGCCAAACAAATGCCAACAAAACCCACCTTACCTGTAAAATGTGCATTCCAGACGTCCTATCCCACACATCACCCTTTAATTTGCAGAATAGAATTCGGGTATTCGGGTAGAATAGTTAACAGTGCCAAATTAATGACCAACTTTACCAAAATTTTCTTTTCCTTCTTTTTTTTCTATTTATTTAAAGTATACGTATTGTATTTTAAATTATATAATAAAAAATAACATCTTTCACCTTGTAAACTCAATTCATTTGCATCCTCTATCATCTTTTAAACTTGGCTTATCAAAATCCTCTTTCATCTTTCAAAATCAACACATTTATATGTTTGTGATTTAAATTTAAAATATTTTATTTTCATCTAAAAAATATTATTATTAAATTATTAAGTTGTTAGCATTTAAAATCAAGTTTTGTCTTTCATTAATGTAGTTACTCCCATATTTTGAAACCAAAGAAGGGTTTTTCCTATTCTATTACTCCTTTTTTTTACCTTTATTTTGGAAAAACTAGTCCCACTATGATTATGGATTCCCACCAAAAGGGGTGACAATGGAATTGACATGTTTGAAAGTTCGGGTCAACGAAGACCCGGGAACTGACCCGGTTGAAGGCCCCAAATCCTAGAAAGTGTCTGCGGAGCGTGTATCACACGCAGCTTAGAAAAGAGTGTTAAAAGTAAGTTAGTTAAAAAAAAAAGAAAAAGGAATCACGCAAATTCTAATCCAAACATAATCCATGTCTACTCACAAAGACTGCTCCCGATTACGCTGCCAATACTCAACGAACAAAAAACTTTTGCCAAAAAAAGGAAAAAAAAGAAGTTAAGTAGTACTACCCATTTACTAATGAATTTTATACTTCTTAATGGCTATGGGGTAAAAATAAATATTTTTTTATTTTAAATTATATAATAAGAATTTACTTTTATTCTGTCATCTTTTTATTTTTTATATTTGATATCCTATAATTTGAGTATAAAATTTTTATTCTTGTAAAAAAAATTATTATTGAGCCATTTAAAAGATTAAACAA